TGTGAGGCTGATTCAGTTGGAAGGCAACAAAACAAAGGCATTAAATTTCAACAGTCAATGGTGGGCTATGCAACAACAGGTCGATGGCGACAGTTTCGAGCCGTGTCGAGTGTTTCGTAATTACATATTTGTTAGGGTAGGAGAGTGACCCTTGAAACCTGTATGGGGACTGTACAAAAAAGTACTCTTAAACGGGACAACGAAACTCAAATTACTATAGATAGTGCTTGTTATACTCCCAATGTTGTTTTATATAAGTTATACCATTCAAATATGTTGCCTCAATTTCACCAAGACACGTTCCCGTCCGGCGGTGTGAGGCTCTGTGGTAAGACGCTCCAACAGCACCAAGCCTCTCCTGATGACTCTATAATGTAATACTGAAAGTAAAGTGCCATCGCTGACGGTATCTATATTATTAGGCATCATTTGACGCCCTTGATCACTAAGGTCCACACATCTTGGCGTGGGTCTTTGTCACGCACACACTTTTCTACACGTCCACCAGGTTGTTTACGGGGAGTCATGTCGACACAGTATAAATTTGAATAATGACCGTGTAAGAAAATTAATGAGATTTATGAGGGATGTAAGTAGCGAGGTAAGGAAGGGGTTGTGTGGGTGAGGGATGGACTGTGTAGTGAGGGAGGGATTGTGTGGGGAGGGAGGGAGGGAGGGAGGGAGGGACTGCGCGGTAAATGAGGGATTGAAGTCACGAATATACAGTAGGCTACATGCTTACGCTCAAAACGCCGGGTTCCAAGCTAGTATACTAATAAAGAAGAACTCAAGGTTTTGTTTTTAAGCAATAGTAGTTTAATATGAGCTCTTGTGGCTTTTCATCCATGAAACAGCTGATTTCTGTGGAGGCATTTAAAAAACAACGTAAGACTTAGGATCCCGCTTCCTCTATCAAGGAATAAACAATTGAAATTGAAAATTGAACGTAAGACTTTTTTTGGGTGGGGGTTATGATTTTGAACAGGTGGTGGAGAATTATAGGGTTTAGGAAGTATTAAAACTTATATATAATAACGGTTTATTGAAAAAATTCTGCAGCCCGAAGGCTGAAAATATACACTGGACATAAATGACTTATTACATACATTGGTAGTTTAACAAAAGCCTTCATTAGAGAAAGGTAAAGGAACATACAGATTAATGTAGGTGTTGAACAGCACACACGTAGTGTAATAACTCCCTCCCAGATGGTGTTATGAGGGACCTCACGTAGTGTAGTAACTCCCCTCACCAGATGGTGTTATGAGGGACCTCACGTAGTGTAGTAACTCCCTCCCAGATGGTGTTATGAGGGACCTCACGTGGTGTAGTAACTCCCTCCCAGATGGTGTTATGAGGGACCTCACGTGGTGTAGTAACTCCCTCCCAGATGGTGTTATGAGGGACCTCACGTGGTGTAGTAGTTCCCTCAGATGGTGTTATGAGGGAACTGACGTGGTGTAGTAATTCCCTTAAGGGTATATGAATGATAGAAGTCGAACTGTTACTTTTTGTGATTTTTATTATAAAACCATTTCTTTTTATTCTAAAGTAGTGTTTCGAACGCTAGTGAATTATTCAGAAGAACTGGCGCTTTTGAGAACAAAGGACCTATTATTATTATTATTATTATTATTATTATTATTATTATTATTATTATTATTATTATTATTATTATATATGAATCTTTAAGTCTAATTTAATGTTGATTCACGAGGATTTACCTAGGTTATTGAACGTAAACTTTTGATGGCGATCTAGGAAAAAAAACAACAACTACAGTGTGTAATAAATCGTGTATGGTATATTTTGGGTTACCTTTCTTTATTTATCCATTATGTTGTGTCAAGATGATTATATATCAGTCACGTCACTAGTAGCTGGCAATCATGATTTACCAGTAATGGACAGAAACGTATTATTATCACAGGTAATCATTGCCGTAATTTCATTTTATTGACGTTCATTATATCCGCCCTGAGAATAATTTGCAGCATATTACGACACAGCGTAGTATTAGACAATAATTATCGATGATATACAGTATTAGTTGTGTTTATCTGAGAAATCGTAACATTTTTGTACCTTTTCCATTTAAAAATAATAATTATTTGTTAAGATTTTGTTTCATATGCTCTTTACTCCAGGGCCACACAGATGTGGTAGCAACCTTGGAGGGCCTCAGCACCTGTGAATACTGTATGCCCGTGTTTGTTTGTCAGGTATCAGTCACCTTTCTTAAAAACATCCTTTATTATGCATGTTAATACGTTTTGGCTGAGAGTCAATAAGACTTACCCAAAACCCTCGCACAGCGATTAAAACAGCTAGCTGAACTCCAGTTGTGGAAGAGCTGGCGAGACATTCACAATGCCATGACATTTAATCTAAATCATAGAACAGTATAAAGGTTCATGTTCCGAGAAAATCGTTCAAACATTGTGCGCAGCGTGTAGAAAAGAGTGTCACAATGTACCTCCTGGGTATGTAGGTTTTACCAATATCGGCACGGGTGGGGGAGCGAATTACAGTCCATTGGCAGCAATCACTTGGAGCCGATGATCGACCGTCTGGAGCAACACCAACAACACGTCCACCCGATACCTGCCACCCGACTTCCTTGTGGATTTCCTCGATTACTTCGGTAACAGGCTGGGAGACGGAGGGCAGAAGGAAGATTGTGTAGGTCAGTTAGACATGAGAAAAAAATGTGGTTATGTAAGGTGGTGTTACGCCTTACCTGGACCTATCCAATTAAGGTTACGTACTGAAGAAAAATAAATAATTGAATATCGTGTCTGCTTCTCTAGATAAATAGATCTTGAATTGAAAACTGAGGATGATGAAATTTCGGGTGAATGAAAGTTTATAATGCAATGCTTTATTACAGGTAAAGCTGATTTTACGTGCCAGGAAGCATTATCAGTTGTAAGAGACTTTGACTGGCCGAGGATTTGCCATCCAAGTACACCCGATAAGCCTCGAGCACAAAACTTTAATTTGGTCTTCTTTTTAAAATGGTAAAATATAAGTCATTGTGAGTGCTTTTGTGATATTTGACGATTCCAATTCGCAGGATATTTTGGATTTAGGTTGAAATGAACAAATGCTTTGGACTATGATTTATTCTTTGATTATTGACAATATTTGTATGCGTCATGGTATATAAGGGGCCCGGACGAAGATGGCGTTCAACCAAAACTTTATCGTCAATAAGCAAATAAATAGTCGCAGGAATATTCTTAGTGCTTTCAGATGCTACTAAGCTGTTTCTTATTTTTTTTATGGTGTTTATAGATTCTTACGGGTTAATATATAAGGACTTGTACGTTGACTGTCATAGAATATTCTACTTTCATTTAATGTAAACAGAACTTCCTATTTTGAAATATATTACAATAGCTAACAAGACTTAATAAAGGGCGTGTGTTTTACTCAGTCGTCCGATTAAAACCTTCCCATATTTTTCTTGAATTTTCAACTGACCATATCAAATCTCATTTCTGTGTCCACTTCACTCTTCTGCCTTTATCTTCCTATCCATATCGTCGATGTATGTAAAACTCGGTTATAAAACCTACAATCTATTGTAACATTCCTCTAAAGTTGATATTGTGGTCACTAGTCCGTCAGGTCAGTTACTAAGTTAGCATAGATTCCTCAACCAATTGCAATATTAGCCTAGCCTTGTTATTACACCAATATGAATAATTTAATTCTCATTGTTCTCTTTTACTGATTACCTACAGTCACATCAGGGCCTCTCTCTCTCTCTCTCCACATTCTGCTATTCATTAACTTGTTATTCATCGACCTGTTGTTCACTAGCGCCTATAACTACCACAATCTCGCGCCCTTGTTTTATGACTTTTCTATTGACGGGGGAGGTCTGGCTGCCCCGCACACTGTTACAAGACTCCTCCCTCTCTACACCCCTCTCTCCTCCTGATAGAGTCTTAACACTCTTAAGACTAGGAAGTCAGTCACCCAGGGGCCCCAGTCAACTTTGTGGAGGTCAGAGCGGAAAGATCGAACTCCTACGGTAGCTGAAGAATCTACAACACTTATGGGTACTTTCCTGAAGTCACTTTCGAGGATCTGTTGCTGTTCGACATCTACTGTCTGTGTCATTCAGTCTAATTAGTTCAAATGTATATAGAAATAACTGCAGCTACTGCAGAGACTTGGCTCCCGTGTGTCAACTGAATAAGGCTGGCGGAACAAGCATATCAGCACCTTACCATGATCACCACCACACTAGAACAACAACCGATCGTCTGAAGCTTATTTTATCGCCACAAGAGAGCTCCTGTAGACAGGCAGCGAGTGAATCTTCGTCATGTGTAACTTAATAAACACAACAGTGTGGATAGGAGCACCAGCGCTACTGACTGCTCTTGTTGTCGCTGTTTTTAAGCAGTGTGGGACACCAAGACAAATATCTGAACAGGTTAAAAGTACATAACAGGCGATTGTGATTAACAACAAGACGTAGGCTAGAGTTATGGCAAGGCGTGCCAAGGAAGGCCACACTAACAGTCTCGTCACCGGCCTATATCCTCCAGCACAAGATGTCTCTACCCTAACTCCTGTCTCGGCTATACCGACCACTGCTTTAAAGGCAGGGCGAGAAAAGGAGACCTCACCAACGTCTTCACTACCTGCTGTATACCCCATTGTCTCTTGACGTCAGCCTGAACCCTGGCACCTGCCTCTATAGTATTATTATTATCTCTGTTTAAAAGACAACACGAACTAGGAAGACGTCGACGATAAGCTAACACCTCCAATACATCTCCTGGCGATGCTTCATACTCGTCATTATCTTTATTTCTTGCAAAGCTTTTTTTCTCTCGCATAGGCATTATCTCCCACAATTGTTTCAGCCCTCCTTACCGAACATCTTATCATCTCTATCTGCCTTATTCTTTTCCGTGTTACCTAAGCTACCAGTCTTCATTTCCCCCGCCATATCTTTCTCTCTAAGAGGCATCATCGTTATGGTACTACGGCACCTGCTGGCTCTATCCCTCATCAGTAGTTAGTGACATTGGTGGCAGTAGTAATATTATTAGTGGTGTGTGTGTGTGTGTGTGTGTGTAATATTTATGTTGATTTTCTTACGACACGGTAATTAAATTTCAGATGTATATTCTGGTATTTGTATTTTGTTGTTTTAGGGAATCCTGTAGTTTTACAAGAGTATCTTTTATGTAATGTTCAGTTTTACTTCTGTTATTTATGTATTGAAAACGTATTCAACTATGTGATAAACCAGCCATCCACAATGTGTGTCTGGTAGGTGTCGCCATCTAGTGGTTAAGGACAGTAGTTATGGGGACTGCCAAGCGTCACCACACTGGGCCATCTTACTAACCATATTGGATGAGTCGAAGCTTTAGTTAATGCTTCGACTCATTCATTCGAGGTTTGGTGTTGGGTTAATTATGCACTCGTGTGGTTACCTGCTGTGAGTCGCCACCTTCTCCTCCATAGTGATGAGTACATTGTTATTTATAATGAACTGTCTTCTCTTATAGTGTTTCTGCTCCATTATATTAATTATGGTACATTGTAACTGATTTAATTGTAGACTTATTAGTATTATGTTGTGTCGTTGGGTACATTATCCTACTGAACAAACCTATTAAGTTATTATTGTTTCTAGAATACATTGTAAATAGTTTAATTATATCAAGTTATTTTACGCGTTGGTTTTGCTTCACTTACATGTGGGGTTGACGAGTCTGTGGAAACGTTTCATGGTAAAGAGTTCTTTTAGTCGTGAACCCAATAGAAGTTAGACTACTGTTAGAGTAAATGTAATAATTTATATTCAACACCACATAAAATAAAACAATTCTCATTTATTACTATCTGTAGCTCTTTCGTCTTCTCTTGTGTCAATGATTGCAGATTTATTTCACAGATCTAATAATTATGTATTCAAAGGTTGTTGTACTTCCTGGCGACTGTATTCCTCACTAGATGTTCTCAGTTCTTTCCCAAGTACAATTTATTGTGACAGGAACCTAATAGCAATAAACATATGGTGGCTTTCTTGGGCTGTCAGTTTATCATTGTTTGTGTAGTCTCGCTATGTACTGTACAGTTTTGTATACCAGAACTGTGTGTGTGTGTGTGTGTGTGTGTGTGTGTGTGTGTGTGTGTGTGTGTGTGTGCTATCAGAGATAAAGTTATGACTGGTGTTACACTGTGTATGATGAGATGAACCCCAGTATGTGACTAGCGATACCTTCGTTAAATGGCTTATAACTTCCAGTTTACCATACAAGGGGCAATTGTTATCTATCTTGTCTGTTATCTTCTGTTCAGGTGTTCTCGAGGTGTTGAGTCAACCTAGAGACAACGAGAGATGGTTCCCAGCACCTTCAGCCCCTTCAGGTGTTCTCGAGGTGATGAGTCAACCTAGAGACAACGAGAGATGGTTCCCAGCACCTTCAGCCCCTTCAGGTGTTCTCGAGGTGATGAGTCAACCTAGAGACAACAAGAGATGGTTCCCAGCACCTTCAACCCCTTCAGGTGTTCAACAGCCCCAGGACGGCTCAGGAGTGATACCAGAGAACCGACCTCCATGTACCCGAACAGGAAACACGATTTCCATAAACGGTGTCAATTCATATAATTTGAAAATTTCTGCAGAGGGGAGAGTCAAGTTTCCAGAAGCTTCAGGCGTGACAATACCAGTGTCCCCAGAGAAGGATTCACAGTTAGGAGCAACACAAGAAGTGGCAGAGTACTTAGGCTCAGCACTTATGTCTGTCGTCGACGATCAGTACCAACGTAGTCCTCACAGCGGAGCTAGTTCCTCAGGTGCAAGGAGAGTGAAGAGACAGCAGCGAGGCAAGGACACTCCTGCCGCCGCCCAGACCTCACCTGCAGGTAATTTTTCACCTTGGCAATTGCTGTAAGCGTAAGTTACATGCCACTTGACACACAATCTGTTTCTGGTACTCTTATAAAAACAATAATTTCTGCCAGAGTATAAGTTACTGTATTTTAGTTCTGTTGTTTGTTTCTTATAGCCTCCAGACGTTATCTATTTATGTATGGTATTAATTGTTTCTAAGTCTCAAATTAATGGAAAATATTCCAAGTTCACAGAATTTAGCAAATTGCTTTTCGTGCAATTTACACTAGTGATGCAAATCCTTGTCAGTCTGGACTATCTGTGTCCATTAATAATCTTTTCTCTGAAAATAGGTCAATGGGTTGGCTATTCTCCCCATTTTCTCACTTTAGGTCAAACAGCTGAAAATTAGCAATAGGTGATAAGTTAACCACACAGCGTTGTTCTACAGAGGATGAAGAGAACAGGGCATCAATTGGAGGGAAGACACCCAGCAGTCAAAATAGTGAACCTGAAGGTCACGGTGGGGGAGGTCAGGACAAAGGTGTCAGAAAATTTACCGGGGGTAAGGTGGGGCACGAGTGGTCTGACCAACACCTGCTATACAACGACCTCTTCAAGAACTACAACAAACACATCCGTCCCATCCTCAACCACGATGACGTATTGACCGTCCACTTTGAGATCGCCCTCTTCAACGTCCTCAACTTGGTAAGGTTAGTGGATGTATATAACACTAACAATTATCGGTATAGTTGAAATAGGAAAAAAAAAGTGAAATTTTCAAAATTGATGTCAGTTTCAGGGTAAAAAAAAAGGACAAGGAAGGTCGTCTAAACATTGTAATAGTGATTAAAACTACAGTCTCTCTCTCTCTCTCTCTCTCGGTATTCATTTATCTGTCTCTATCTGTTTCTCTTCTTCAAGACTTTGGTTGCTGCATCTCTGCCTGTTACTTGTGGTTATTATAACAAATATACACTTATCGTGTTTGATAATTCCATCGTTGTCTTTAAACTTTTCAGTGTTACGGATGTCTTCCATAATGTGTACAGTGGTAAGATGACATAGTAAGCTGCAACAGTCACTATAAATCATACTATTTCCACGCTAACCACGCCCGTAAGTCACGCCCTTTGTTTATAGCTACACATAGCTGATTGGTTCAGAGAAAATGTTCGTGTAGCTGTCCATTTATTCAAATTAAATGTGTTCACAATTGGTAAGCAGACTTGTTATTATCTAAAATAATGTCAAATATCTGGACTATCAAAATGCAAATAATTTCAAGACCTTAGCACTTCAGAGAGGATGTTAGAAAAATTTAAATATTTTTCATAAAAGGTAGAAGTTAAAGATGAAATTCGTTTTCAAATGAAGGCTTTTCTTATTTCTTTGTTTTGTACCAAACATAAAGCAAACAGAAACAAATTATACCAAACACATAGCACAAAAGGTAATGAGATACAGTTTGTACCTCTGTATTACAAACATAAAAAAAAATATTGCCTGAAGGAAATTAAAATTGTGTCATACGTTGTCAACTATAAGTCGTAAAGCTACTTGGGCTAGTAGGTATTAGGCAGCTACCAAACAGGGAGGTATTACCGCCTGGGAAGATATTGGAAGCATAATGTGTTGTCTAATGGTAGACCCTGCTGCCATATGTGACCAAGTCCCAGGTTGCTGATCTGACTTTCTGCCTCATTTACACACAATTGCAGGGTTTCAATTGTTTCACTTACTATTGACAACACAACATACACATATTGTTTCTCACTATTGATATTTTTTAATTTTTGTATTTCTTTATGGTTCTTTATTATTATTATTATTATTATTATTATTATTATTATTATTATTATTATTATTATTATTATTATTATTATTACCCCCCAGGCCCTGGTGTGGGTCAGTGACCTGTGCCCGGGTGGGCTAATCCCCGTAAAAAAAAAAAGTATATAAAACACCTGTAATGAGTTAATTTTCCTGAGACAGTATTTTACCACAAAATTAGAAAAATAGAAGCACCAATAATATTGTTGTCTATTTAAGGCTACACAGCTAAAAGTAAAACTAGACAGGGCAAGGACAGTCTAACTGATAACATACTCATGTATTTGTGTGTGAAACAGTGCAGTTTTATGTGTCATAACAAATATTCGGGCATAGAAACGATGTACTTTAATTTACTTTTCCCTCCACAAAATGTTCGACGAGATTCGGAATTAATGGGTTTTGTTACAAGAATGTGAACAATGCAATTGCTATTGGGTTTTTGCAGACATACCGGTACAAGATAAGTGTGTACATGTCAGTTACGACGGCGGGTATAGGTATTACCCAATACATTAAAATCCGGAACCACAGGAAGCTGTAGTCACTAACACGACATTTTAAACTTTATTACAGATGATAAGGTATGAAATACACGTTGAAATATTGTGATTAATCGTTTTCCATATCTAAATATATATCCTGGCGAATATGAAAGCGCCAAATCTTTTTAAAAGGTTTATTACCAATCACGAAAAAGTGCTGAATAATCACCTAGTACCCAATGTGTGCCACGTTACTTGGCAGAGTTATTGTACCGTCATTATTCGGTAAGTGTAGTACAGACGACGTTCACCACATGACCGATCTTATGTTAAGCCATCAGGGTAATTACTCTACTGACAGGAACTGACAGACGTTAATAATACCAATGGACACACCTCACAGCGGGGTTCATAAATATCACTGAAGGAATACTGAATTGTTCTAAGTTTGTCTAATTATATTCTGCTTAGCAATTTTGTGTTGGTAGCGTAGTGTCATGATACAATGCCTTTCACTGGCTTTATAGTTAACCATAAATAGTTGTGTACATTGGTAAGTGTTTTTGAGTGTTAGAGAAAACTAAGCAGAAACATTCAGTAATTTTAATAGGCCATGGCGTTGTTGTATTATCGGTGTAAAACTTTCAGAAGTAATATCACAGAAATGCAAAAAAAAATCCGATTTTTTTTGTCGATGAAGTTAACTTTTTCTTTACTAACACACAACTGCGTTACATTAAAAAAAAGTTACGTATCGCGTCACGCTCAACAGTGACATGCATTGCGTTTACGTATATTAAACGCGTTACAAAATAGACCGTAACATACAGGGGACTCTAAAAGATACTGTATTTGTCGAGTATTATATATGAAGATATTACTTATTTGAACAACCTGAAGATTAGACGCCCTAGCTCATTTCACCTGATGATTAAACACTTACCCCAACCTTACCATAACTTAACCCCAGGTAGCGTTAAGGTGATCAAATCATTTACCTATAAATGTATGCATTTATTCATTAATTTATTAGTCTTTTTCATTTATCTACTATACTATAGGAATAGCCGTGTGTGTGTGTGTGTGTAATAATAATAAGAATAATAATAATAAACGGTTTATTAATAGAGTTGCAGCCGGTGGCTGAAAATATACAGACTTACATTTGATTTAGACATAATGATATAATATGTATTGAATACATTTACAGGGCTGTACAGTACATAAATCAGGAGTCGTTTATTATTTTAACAATAGATGGGATGGTGCTGTTCTTATATCTATCGGTGAGGGCTCTTACGGGCTGAATTTTGTTGTAGTGGCGGACTGCGCGGGTTGGGTGGGGGGCTGCAGGTGGTAGGAGGTGGCGATGTCGAGGGTGGTGCAGTAGTCCACTGCCAAACCTTTCCAGTGCTTGGTGGTGGAGGTCACTAAGGGTTGGCATTTCCAGGGTGGAGAGAGCGTTGGTGTAGCGGAGTATTCTGCGCTGAGCATGATTCTGTAGGCCCTTTTCTGTACCTTCTCTAGTTGACGTTGTTGGGTGGAGTTAAGAGAAGACGACCAGGCTGGTGACGCATATGTTAGTTTGGGGAGAATAAAGGCGTTGTAGATGGTCCTCAGCTCTAGCGTGGGTGTCCCAAGTGACCTAAGTCGTCGTAGCATGTAGAGACGGTACGAGGCTGCCTTGACTATTTTATTTACATGGGCCTTCCAGTCAAGTTTGTGTGTGTGTTCTGGGCAACGGCACAATCGTTTTTCATCAAACTTGGTGGAAAAATTGCAAAATAATCGTAGAGTGGAACAAACCTGGTCCCATGTCGATGGTTTCTTTAGGAAGGCGTTAATTAACCATTTTGTTGCTGTATGCTGTCAGCCGGACGGCGGTTGCGCGCTAGCCAAGCACGAGCGTTCAAACTTTAACCTGTCATGAAGGGCCCGCGATCACTTGTATCATCTATTTTCTTATTCATTTATGTATTTTTTGTCATATTTAACCTATTTCTCTTTATGTAGGAAAGTATCAGACGAGGTGTTGAAGAAAGTGTTACATGAAAATAACAAGGCGATGAATCTATTGAATTTCATTATCCCGGCAAGATTATCTACGACTATGGAGAACTGTAGGCAAGTTAGTTGTCTCGCTATTTGTGCAGGTTTCCTCGTCAGCTATTCCATCTCATTCTCCTTCCTGTGTCGCCTCGTTTCTTCTCTATCTTTTTTGTCTTATGTACACGTCTTCACTTCCTCTGCTTTCAATATATCTATCTGTCTCTTCTATATTCTGCCTCGTTATGTCTTTCATCTATTCCTCATCCATGTGTTCTCGTCCTTTCTCTTCCCTCTCCATCTTCACATCTTTCTTTACGTCTTCATGCAGCTGGCCATGGGAGGTCCTCACACACTTATTCATAACCTGTTGTAAGTTGGAGCAGGTTCGTGGGAACAACGTAATTGTGCCGAGTTCCTCATTCAGACGTGACTCAGACCTACTCTCCATCTATCTATCTATCTATCTATCTATCTATCTATCTATCTATCTCTCTCTGGTGTGTACGTTGCCCCTCACTTATCCACCACTGTACACACCGCCGCCATAAATTTACATGAAGCCTGATACGTAACAATAAAATATAGAATTTTCGTTCATTGGAAACCTAAAAAAAAAAATAATTCTAAGATTAAAGTGGTATACAGGGATGTGAGACAGTCTAGGAAGAGTTGGTTACATATGTGAGGATGAATTTTGACCTTAATGCATCACTATTGGGCCCAAGTTACCGCGTTGTGTTTATGGTTTATTGAATGTCAGGACTCATTCTATCACCGATGACAGACACAAGACACTGCATCTCTTTCTCCTTTGTCACACAGATGCACGCTACAGTTCATGCAGTAAATCGGGTCCGAGGTTGTTGATATTGCTAACGCGATGGTTTATCAATATTTTAATTTGTTTTGAACTGCTGCTTGCCACGGCCGAGAAGCGTGCGTGTGTGTGTGTGTGTGTGTGTGTGTGTGGTGTTTTGTGGAAACTTTGTTGTGCTGTGGATGTATTATAAAATTTGTACATTGTAAGTCTTGGTGTAATGCATCCTTTCACACATACTGTACGAGTTTACTTATTTTCCTAGACTGAGAATGAACGGTGTATAATCGTTACAGTCACAAGTTACGACATGACTTCACCAATACATCAAACCAAATAACAGATTGACAGCCAACAAAGTTTCGCCTATAAGCAGCGGACCGAATAAGTGGGCGATTAGGCACGAGATGGTAACGTGTCCGATCGATGCTTATCATTCACGTTCTGTGATTGGTCTTCCTCTGGCCAATAGCAGACTCTCTCCTTGACATATCCTTAGAACTACGCATTTGGAATCTATGAATATTAGATTTTTAGAAAAGTGTTATTCCCGGAATAGAGTGAGTGTGGTTGTGGCTTCAGGCAGACGAGCTAGCAGCCACCCTGGAGGAAGACACGGTCACTCCCGCCACCACCCGCTAAGTGTGTTGTTACAGTATTTTCCAATGGTCTCACTCTTGTCTTCCTTGAAGAATGTGATATGATTTGTTTATATAATTATTAATTAATATGACGTTAGCTTTAAACAGACATAAAAAGTTACACTATATATATATATATATCGTTTTTGTTATTACGTTTGTTATTTTGTTTTTATTATTGTGAAAATAATGATAAATTTGTATAATTTAAACCAATACTTTACTCTTAAATTTCCCCTCAACGAAAATACGAAAGTTACAAAAAGTATCAATAAAATTCACAGGAGTGACTCCTTCATCAGTGACCAAAACCAGAGTGTTATTTCACGTGATAAGCTGACAACTGTACAGTATATGACTGTGGTGGATCCTTATCTGCCAAAGACACAGGAAAATAAGATTTTAGAAGAAATGTCACCTGGAGTTGTGTTAGCTTCGACGACAGACAACGCGGCGTGTCTTAGAAACTTCTAGAAGGAAGGAAGGAAGGTGGTGCTCCAAGATGGTGGCGTCTGTGGCACTGCGGGCGACACTCCTCTGTCTCCTTGCTGGTAAGTCTAAAAGTCTTTTTCATCGTTTGTCTTACTTTGGGTGGTACACGTGATGTTTACCCGGCGTCACATATCACAAAGAAATCGAGATGAAATAGATATATATCCTGTAGTCAGTTTGATTATTACACTGTGCTCGTTATAGTGTGGGGTTCAGGTTGTTTGGTTCAGAAGGCTGGGTGTTCGGGTCACTCCGGGGTCACCAATTGTGGGGTTCAGGTTGTTTGGATCTCACTCAGGATGGGATGGAGAAAGGAAACTCACAATGTGCTCTCTGTATACATGTTGTATTGGATGTACAATGCAGCTTGGTGTTGGGAAGTGGCAGCGTGGTTACAAGCGTGATGTAGAGAGAGCTGGTTGGTGAGGATGCTCAGAGGAGGACCAGCTTGTGGATCGCCATGCTCGCCGGCGGGAGCGAGGACTGCCAGGCAGGCGGAGGAGGAGGAGGTGTTGCTGACTGGTTGGTGTAGTTAGAAAGAGAAAGATCACCACGAGGTCAGGTCTTAAATAGCGGGGGTTGGCGTGGCTTAGTAGTTGACCCCCGCTCCGTGGTGTATGGCGGCGCTGGTTGACCTAGACCACGAGGCATACACAGGGAAATTCGTGGGGTCGGCTATGCTGCGACAAACAGCGTTTGTACATAAGAACATAAGAAAATAAGGAGTCTGCAATAGGCCGGTTGGCCTGTGCATGGCAGCTCCTGTCGAGAGTTACTACCACTCTCTATCATCCATGAATCTATCTAGCCTCCTTTTGAAACTTTCCAGAGTTCCCGCACTTAATACAAAAGTTGCTAAGCTTGTTCCACTCGTCCACCACCCTATTTGTGAACCAGTTTCTTCCTGTCTCCCTCCTAAACCTAAACTTATCCAACTTGAATCCGTTGCTCCGAGTCCTATCTCTGCTCGGATATTATAAGAACTTTATCTATATCCCCTTTATTGATTCCTTTCACCCACTTAAATACTTCTATCATATCTCCCCGCACTCTTCGTCTTTCTAGGGAATGCAAGTTAAGTTTCTTTAACCTATTCTGATATGGAAGGTTTCTAAGTCCCGGAATAATTTTTGTCATTCTTCGCTGCACCGACTCTAGTGAATTTATATCCATTCTATAATAGGGGCACCAGAACTGAACCGCATAAGCGAGGTGCGGCCTGACTAGCGCAAGATATAGTTGCAATAAGACCTCCGCACTCTTGTTACTTACATTAACGCACTGTTTTCTAGGCCGTAGGTCCGGGCTTACAAGTACCCCTAGGTCTCTTTCACAAGTCGACTTCTCTAGGTTGATGTTGTTAAGGCTGTATACATTATAAGTATTTGTTCTTCCAATTTTAAGTACGCTGCACTTGCTGGTGTTGAATTTCATTTGCCATTTTTCAGACCACCCCTGCAGTTTATTTAGATCCTCCTGTAATGCATTTGCATCCTGCCCTGAATTAATTTGCCACTACAATAGTACCTGTAATGTACCTATTCACACCGAATATCAATCATATATTACCCGAGACCATTGGACTACTGTACCTGCCCAGTGCGATAACTACTTTGCCACTGAGTTAGATAGATTCAGAATTTCAACTGACTGCATAACATTACTATATTAAAGTGAACGAGCCAGTAGCTTGACAAGACGTGTTTTAGACAACTTTTAACTGTAACCACGACTGCTGGCGTTGCAAGGTCTCGGCTATCTCGAGTGCGCTTCTTCCTGTATTACCTTACTCCAGTGCTCCTCAACCTTTTACAGGCTCTCGGCCACATTTATCATTGTTAATATAGTGGAGGGCGACAAAACTTTGGATCTACATTCAAGAAAAAAATAATAATATACTGTTCAGTTGTTTGCAGTCTTACACGTCTAACTGTTATCAGTTACTTTTTACATCTACTCTTGGGCAGTACGTGTGTATTTACCCCAGTGAGAAGGCTGGCTCTCTCTCTGGGCCAGGTCTAGGGTAAATACACACGTTCTGTACACGACAGACTGGGGACAAACGCGCAGTCCCCCCTCTCTTTCGTAAACTATAAAATTGCATAAAATTATTACATATTTTCATGAATTTCACTTTTACAAATAATTCACAATTTTCTAATAATGTATGTGTGTCTGCACACACACACACACACACTCACACTGTCCTTAAACTCACCGTCATGTTGGTCCTTGGTGATGGTTGTGTTGATCTTCTTGCTTGGTTCTTCCTCTATATTTCTTGTTTTCCGTCTTCTTTTTGTCTCTTCTTTATATCAAATCCTTTCTCTTTACACTATTTACCCAATTAACCTAGTGACCACCTCACCTTAGTTAGAGGTAACCAAAACGGGGGAAGGAGGCCGATGACCTCTTGGATCACTCTGTTGTTCTTGGCAGCCTTGTTTAGTGCTATTTTGAATCCTAGTACTGCTTTGGCTTCCCACGTCTTGAGCTGGTAAATTGTACCATAGGTCTACCACCCCCTGCGTGAAGAAATGCTTCCTTATATTATGTCCTGCACGACACCTTGGCGAGCTTGATGGTGTGTCCTCTTGTGTTGATGGTGCATGCCACCATGAAAGGTTGATCTGGGTTTACGTAGTCCATCCCTTTCAAGATTTTGAATGTGTCTATGAGATCCGCCTAGAGTTGTCAGTCCTAAGGCCCTCAGTCTACTTGGATAATGAAGACTATTTAGTTTAGGAATGATCTTAGCCGATCTTGTCGCCTCTACAGCATCAACACTCTTCGTCCTTGGTTTTACCCCTTCTCACAAGTATGAGTATGGAAACACAGAAGAAGGCTGTGTGAGCAAAGAAGGAAATGGTGGGCACCGCGGGCAAGACGAGTGTTACGAGCCCACGGCCCTGCCGGCGGTACACAGGATGTCAAATCCACCGAACATTGCCCGTTAAAGTACCTGTAAAAGAGAGAGAGAGTGAAGCAACATTGTGGCGAAGAGAACGGGAAGAGAGATTATCAACTAAAGGAGGAGAGTTAATAAGACGAAATGCCTTTGATTCCACCCTATCTAACAGTTGGACAGAAGAAGAGCCACCCCAGATATGAGAGCAGTACTCCAAGTTAGGACGAATGAATCCCTTATAAACTTGAAGCAACTGCTCAGGAGTGAAGTAGCTACGGCATCTGTACAGTATTCCCAGCTTTCGGAAGGCAGTTTTAGCAATGTTGAGAATGTGTGGCTTCCCTGACATATTAAAGGAAATGGTGAGGCCTAGCATATCTATTTTAGAATTTGGCTATAAAGTATGGCTATAAGGGGAGGTTGGAGGCCATTATTAACAAAATAGTAGTAGCAGTAGTAATAGTATGTATCCATGTAAACAAAGCCTCACAAAATCCGACCAATTGATTCTAATTAAATTTTTTGGACCCTCCTTCCTCCCTCCTCGCCCTCGCCGCCCATCTCCTATCATCACACGTTAGACTAGGGGTTAAAACAGACTAACAGATACTCCTGATTAATGTTTCTATCCTTCGGCAGCCATTCCAATCATCAAGGGGGAAAGCAGTGGAATGGGAATGGGAATGGGAATGGGGATGAAGGATGGCAACTATTCTTCACCCGTGCATCGCCTTTTTGCGGATCTCTTCAGAAATTACAACAAACACGTCCGCCCTGTCCAGCACCCGGGTGAAACGACAGGCATCTTCTTCGAGCTCTCCATCTTTAACATCCTGAACGTGGTGAGTAAACGTGGTGAGTGAACGTGGTGAGGTGGAAGGTGAACGTGGTGAGAAGGTGAGTGAACGTGGTGAGGAGGTGAACGTGGTGGTGGTGACGTGGTGGTGGAAGGTGAACGTGGTGGTGGAAGGTGAACGTGGTGAAGTGGAAGGTGAACGTGGTGAAGGTGAGTGAACGTGGTGAGGTGGAAGGTGAACGTGGTGAGGTGGAAGGTGAACGTGGTGAAGTGGAAGGTGAACGTGGTGAAGGGTGAGTGAACGTGGTGAGGTGGTGAACGTGGTGGTGGTGGGTGAGTGGAGCGTGGTGAGGTGGAAGGTGAACGTGGTGAGGTGAGTGGACGTGTTGAGGTGAGTGAACGTGGTGAGTAGATGGTGAACGTGTTGGGGTGAGTGAACGTGGAGTAGATGAGTGAACGTGGTGAGGTGAGTGAACGTGTTGGTGAATGAGTGGACGTGTTGAGGTGAGTGAACGTGTTGGTGAGTGAACGTGGTGGGTGAGTGAACGTGTTGAGTAGATGAGTGAACGTGTTGAGTAGATGAATGAATGGTGAGGAGGTGAGTGAACGTGGTGAGGAGGTGAGTGAACGTGTTGAGTAGATGAATGAACGTGATGGTTGAGAAGAGGATGCCGTGACCTAGTAACAACAATACAGGGCTGTCTGATCTCAATTACTGTATTTCAATGACAATTATCTTTTAACACCGCTATTGACCCGCTACGTTCTACCCACACCATCACAATCATAACCACTACCCACAACCACTACCAACCACTGCCAACCACCACCCTCACCCCTCCGCCACCACAACAAAACCACCACTACCCCTACAACCACCACCACCACCACCACTACCCCTACAACCACCACCACCACCACCACCACCACCACACTCAGTTCTCTACACCTAATATGGCCTTGATAACCCCCCACCCCTACCCCTCCCATCCCCTCCCCACCCTACCCTGCCCATCCTCCACTCCACTGTATTTCAGATGTTTCGATATATTGTTTTCTATTAGCTCAAAACTATTTCATTGGTGCTTACAAATCCAAAATAATCTCTCTCTCTCTCTCTCTCTCTCTCTCTCTCTCAATGCTCCACTTTGTCTACTGTGCTCCTCATGCCTCCAGGACACCAAGAAGCAACAGATCACAACCAACTCAGAGATGATCATGAAATGGCAGGACATCAACCTCGTATGGGACCCCAGCCAGCAGCACAAGTCTCAGAATCCCACATTATGACGTCTGGACCCCTGACATTCTTTAGAACACGTAGGTACCTAGGTGGGGATTAAGAAAGTGAAAGGAATCTTGAGAGGAATGGAAGAAAGTAGTGGAGGATGAGAAAAGGAGGAGGACGAGAGTCAGGTGGTATGGTGTTACTACTACTATAATAATAATTAACGGTTTATTGAAAAGCATGACAGCTGAGCTGGAAATATGCAGTTGCATAATTGAGGTGGCCTCTTGAACAAAATAATATACAAAAAGGTAAGTAATACAAATATGATATATAACTAGGTGGGGGTCCTACAGGGCATTTCCATAGTGACAGTGCATAAAGGTAATATTGACTGGGAGTGAATACATTAATTAATTACAAGTTATTGATTTTTTTTTTTTACAATGGTTGGGACTGGGCTGTTCTTATAGCGATCAGTACGTGCTCTGGGCTGGATGTGGTATTATTAGTGTTAATGTGTATCTTATTCCGTGTTATGCCATTCACTCTTACTGACATTTGTCTCCTTTCATCTCTCTCTCTCTCTCTCTCTCTCTCCCCACTCTCATCCCCCACCCCCCCCCTCTCTCTCTCTCTCTCTCTCCTCTCTCCCCACCCCCCTCCTCTCTCCCTCCCCCCAACTGTAACAACCTCACCTCCGTCCACAGTGCAGACTCCAACTACGCGGCGGGGATCATTAACACCAACGTCATCGTCGTGCATAATGGGGAGGTTGAGCTCCTGAGCCACGCCATCCTCACCTCAGTGTGTTCGATGGACGTCCAGTGGTATCCCTTCGACCAGCAGACCTGCAAGCTAATCTTTTCCTCCTGGACCTACAATAAAAACAATGTGAAGTTAAAGTTGAAATGCCTGAATTGTCTATATATTACCGGTTAGACAGATTGGGATATTGGTCCCATTGTTTACACTAGCTCTTTGTTATTATTCAGTTACAGACCTTTAACAATCCGTATAAGTTAACCCAATGTGTTTCCCAGTACAGATCCAACTCATCCAGGGTCCGGCGGATCTCTCAGAATTCAGGGAGAACCCCGAGTTTTTCCTGGAGGACTTCTATGTACTGTCACGTCACAACCCCTGCTGCGTGCCCATTTCCTAGTAAGCCTTGTACCCATGTAGCACCACAGCCTCCCCCACAACCCATGCAGCACCACAGACCCCACAGCCCCCCCCACAACAACACCCATGTAGCACACAGCCCCCAACAACACCCATGTGGCCCCCACAGCAACACCCATGTAGCACCACAGCCCCCCCACAACACCCATGTAGCACCAGCCCCAACAACACCCATGGCACCAGCAACAACACCCCACAACAACACCGTAGCCCACAGCAACCCCGCAACACAACAAACCCATGTAGCACCACACCCACAACAACACCATGTAGCACCACAGCCCCCAACAACACCCGTGGCACAGCCCCCACAACAACACCAGCACCACAGCCCCCCACAACAACCCCATGTGTACCAGACCCCCCCAACAACCCCATGTAGCCAACCACAACCAACCCCTGTACGCCACACACAACAACCCCATGTGCACCACAGAACCCCACAACACCCCTGTAGCACCATAGCACCACCACAACAACACCCATGTGCCCCACACAAACCCATGTAGCACCACAGCCCCACAACAACCCATGTAGCACCACAGCCCCCACAACAACACCCATGTAGCACCACAGCCCCCCCACAACAACCATGTAGCACCCACCACCACAACAACACCCATGTGGCACAGCCCCCAATCCACGCCCCCACAACAACACCCATGTGTCACCACCAACAACACCACCATGTGCCACAACAACACCCATAACCAACAACCATGTAGCGCCCCCCCACAACAACACCCATGTGGCACCACAACCCCCCCATGGCAACAACCCATGTGGCTGCCCCCACAACAACCCATGTGGCAGCCCCACAACAACACCCATGTGGCACCACAGCCCCAAGCAACGCCGTGGCCCCCCCCACAACAACACCATGTGGCACCACAGCCCCCCACGACAACACCATGTGCACCACATGTGGCACCACAGACCCAGCCCACAACAACCCCGTGACCTCCACAACAACCCATGGCACAACAGCCTAACACCATGTATGGCACACAAGACGCAAGGCCTGTCACAACCAACACCCATGTGGCACCACAGCCCCCACAACAACGCCATGTGGCCCACAACAACAACGCCATCCAATATCTACAACAACACCGTAGCACCACAGCCCCCCACAACAACACCGTAGTGGCGCAGCCCCCCACAACAACACCCATGCGGCACCACAGCCCCACAGCAACACCCATGTGGCCCGGCCCCACAACCCAATGTGGCACCATCGCAACAACCCCATGCGGCACCACACCACAACCAACACCCATGCGGCACGGCCCCAGACAACCCACCAACAACACCCATGTGGCACCACAGTACAACCAGCAATGTCAGCGCCACCCCACAACAACACCCATGCGGCACCCGCCACAGCAACACTTCTGACCACAGCCCCACAACAACGCCGTGTGGCACCACATTTACAACAACGCCCGCAGCGGCACCCACAGTACAATAACCCATGCCAACAACCCCAGCGCAGCCCCACAACAACGCCATGCGGCACAACAACACCAATGACCCCACAAACCAGCAACGCCGTGCGGCACCACAGCCCAACAACGCCGTGTGGCCCCCACAACAACGCAATGCGCCACAGACAACCAACCCATGCGGCGCATACAACACCCACAACCAGCACCGCATTTACAACAACCATGGCCACCGTACAACCAGCGCCCATGTGGCGCCCCCCAACAACGCCGTGTGGCACCTGTTTATGACAACGCAGCACCGGCCCCACCATGCGGCGCCACAGTAACAACGCCATGTGGCACCACATACAGAACGCCGCACCTTTTACAACAACACCCGTGCGGCACTGGCCCCCACAGCAACGCCATGTGGCGCAATACAGCAACGCACGCATTTACAACCGCCCTGCAACATTTACAACAACACCCGTACTGACCCCCTACCACGACAACAACAATGTGGCACCAGACCCCCAACAACACCCATGCACACAACAACCACGCACAAACCGGCACCCGCACTTACAACCAACACATGAGGCACCACGACCCCCACAACAACGCCATGCGGCACCAAACCCCCCACAACAGCCGCCATGCAGCGCCGCCCCCCACACATTTACAACAACGCCATGTGGCGCCACGGCCCCCACAACCGCCCATGCGGCACCATACCACAGCAACATGCGGCCATACAACAACGCCGAAACGGCCCCACAACAACCTTGTGCACCATTACAACAACGCCTGCTGTTATCACAACAACATGGGCACCACAGCCCCAAACAACACCAACTGACGCCACCCACAACCAACCATATGCGGCGCAGCCCCACAACAACGCCATGCGGCACAGCCCCCCACAACGCCGGCAGCCCCACAACAACACCCATGCGGCTGCAACCCCACAACAAACGACCAACACCCGTAGCAGCACCACAGCCCCACAACAACACCATGTAGCACCAGCCCCACAACAACACCTGTAGCGCCCCACAACAACACCCATGCACCACCCCTCCCCCACAACAACACCATGTAGCACCAGGCCCCCACAACAACACCCATGCAGCGCACCCACAACAACACCCATGTAGCACCCAGCCCCCCACAACAACACCATGTAACCACACCCCCACAACCATGTCAGCACAACAGCCCACAACAACACCATGCAGCACCAGCCCCACAACACCATGCAGCACCACAGCCCCCAACAACACCCATGCAGCACCACAGCCCCCACAACAACACCCATGTAGCACCACAGCCCCCCACAACAACAACACCCATGCAGCACCACAGCCCCACAACAACACCCATGCAGCACCACAGCCCCACAACAACAACACCCATGTAGCACCACAGCCCCCCCCACAACAACACCCATGCAGCACCACAGCCCCCACAACAACACCCATGTAGCACCACAGCCCCCCACAACAACACCCATGCAGCACCACAGCCCCCCACAACAACACCAGCACCACAGCCCCCCCCACAACAACACCCATGTAGCACCACAGCCCCCACAACAACACCCATGTAGCACCACAGCCCCCCCCCCCCCACAACAACACCCATGTAGCACCACAGCCCCCCCCACAACAACACACCCATGCAGCACCACAGCCCCCACAACAACACCCATGCAGCACCACAGCCCCACAACAACACCCATGTAGCACCACAGCCCCCCACAACAACACCCATGTAGCACCACAGCCCCCCCACAACAACAACACCCATGCAGCACCACAGCCCCCCACAACAACACCCATAGCACCACAGCCCCCACAACAACAACAACACCCATGTAGCACCACAGCCCCCCCAACAACACCCATGTAGCACCACAGCCCCCCACAACAACACCCATGTAGCACCACAGCCCCCCCACAACAACACCCATGTAGCACCACAGCCCCCCCACAACAACACCCATGTAGCACCACAGCCCCACAACAACACCCATGTAGCACCACAGCCCCACAACAACAACACCCATGTAGCACCACAGCCCCCCACACAACAACACCCATGTAGCACCACAGCCCCCCACAACAACACCCATGTAGCACACACAGCCCCCACAACAACACCCATGTAGCACCACACACAGCCCCACACAACACACCCATGCAGCACCACAGCCCCCCACAACAACACCCATGTAGCACCACAGCCCCCACAACAACACCCATGCACCACAGCCCCCCACAACAACACCCATGTAGCACCACAGCCCCCCCCACACAACAACACCCATGTAGCACCACAGCCCCCCAACAACACCCATGCAGCACCACAGCCCCCCCACAACAACACCCATGTAGCACCACAGCCCCCCCACAACAACACCCATGTAGCACCACAGCCCCCCACAACAACACCCATGCAGCACCACAGCCCCCACAACAACACCCATGCAGCACCACAGCCCCCCCACAACAACACCCATGTAGCACCACAGCCCCCCCCCACAACAACACCCATGCAGCACCACAGCCCCCACAACAACACCCATGTAGCACCACAGCCCCCCACAACAACAACACCCATGTAGCACCACAGCCCCCCACAACAACACCCATGCAGCACCACAGCCCCAACAACAACACCCATGCAGCACCACAGCCCCCCACAACAACACCCATGTAGCACCACAGCCCCCACAACAACACCCATGCAGCACCACAGCCCCCACAACACCCATATGCACCACAGCCCCCACAACAACACCCTGCAGCACCACAGCCCCCCACAAAACACCCATGTAGCACCACAGCCCCCCACAACAACACCCATGCAGCACCACAGCCCCCACAACAACAACACCCATGCAGCACCACAGCCCACACAATACCTAACCTGTTTTTCCCACACACATCTACTATTCTGTCACGCGCGTTTCCACTCAAGGTATCATCATCCACGCATTCTTTATTCATGCTTAAACTAACCTAACCTAACCTATGCTTAACTATGAAGTAATGTTGCTGATATTCCTTGTGTTTTTAATGGGTTTAATGATAAATAATTTTGAGATATGAATTTACGAACAACAGATAGGGATCGTAAATTAATTCGTCAGCTGCAATTCTTTTTATCTGAACAGAATACTCTTTGGAGAACAATAATTTCGGGCATTAATATAATTGTTTGGTGTCTTCTGACTCTCCCCTGCAGCCATAACCTATTACTTGCAGCTCCAGAGACGAACCATTTACTCGCTCTTCTTCTTCATCATGCCAGGGATTCTCATCAATGTCTGCGGTATGTGTTCACGCCCTGCCATAACCTTAAATCTCCTCACACTGTCCATCACAAATATTTACCAGGGGTTTACTAGGGTCCCCGGGAACACACATTTCTACGTACTACAAGTCATCCTTACCTTTGTTTGTATCTCCACCACCCATAACCTCTAC